AGTACCTTCTACTAGCACACTTACACAGACTACAGGTGGGAGTGACTCATCTTTAGACTTATCAATTATCATCTGCCATGAGATTGTTCATTATACGAGTCAGCTTCTTTTGATCTTGCACCTATTCCTCCTGTTCGGGTCAACAATGGTTTTGACAGCCTTTTTCCTCCACCTGATTTTGATGAATCTTCCTATGCCCCTGATGTGGAATCAGTATGACTTTTTTAGATATGATTTCTCAGGTATGTTCTGTTTTATTCATTTCCCCGATTTCATATGATCCCCTTCTTTCTTTGTTACATGATACCTCCACCATTCCCTGGATATTGAAGTTCATGTTGTTTTTCAGATGGTTGATGTTCCTGCATGGCTCGTCCTCCATGGGGTTTAGATCTGTTTGCCTTGGCCTACCATCAGGCTGAATGTTCGTTTCTCAGCACTTACAATTGTATTTGTCCATGTAGGAGGTTGACCCTGATCATCCCGTTTGTTTATCCCATGCCCAATTTTCCCGACTTGGTCTTACCCTATCGATTCTCCTAAGATGCTTGTCTACCATCCACCTCCTTTCCATGGTGATCCTCAGGGTTTTTTGAGGGATGGCCCCTCCCTGATTACCCCCACATTGGCATGTGTTGTCTTTGTTGGCTCTATCCTTACACACGTGATTTCTCTGTTGTTGGGATCTCCTGTGAAGGGATGCAGCTTTGTCCCAGGATCATTTACTGCCAACTTATCTCTGAGACTTATGTATGGCCTTTTTTCTACAGTGGTATGTTTTGGTAATATTCTTGAGACTTTGGAATCCCGTTTGCGACAACAAACTACCCTTTTTTCTTTGGTGGATTGTTTGTCTCATTCAGAGCCTAGACATGCCCCTATTACTGTATAAACTAAGAACAATCAATTCTGTCAAGCCAGTTTAATTTTCACAAGAAAACTGTTGAACTTATTACATAATGAAAATCGTAAATTGATGAAGATTCACGTGGGTTGCTCTGTAATAAGATTACTGTAAAACTTGAAAATAACTTGTGTACTCCAGCAAAAACTAATGTCTAAAAGCCACAACTAAGATCTATATTTATAGAATATTATAATATTCTTACAGGATAATATACATATGTTGAAAACATAAAATAATACTCTTGTAAGCTATATTTTTAACGTTTTGATATAGATGTTTGCCACAAGGCGTATGACGTAATGATCAAGAAAATTAGTGTAGTGAGTAGAAGGTGAGTACAGTATAAATACTAGAAAAGTGAAGCAGTGAGTGAATGAGAAACCAATGAGTATTCAATTACTCATCTATTCAGTCATTCACCGAGTTTGTTTGTTTATTAATCGACTAATTTTGTGAAGAAATTGTATAGACTTAAGTAAGTTAGGCTTAGTAGCAACAGTTTGGAATGTATTGAGACATTTTATGTGAACTTAGGCATACAAGGAAGCTATCCGAAAATCGTATTATTGAAGAAATAAATTAGTTGGTTATCATTACGTGGAATGAACTTGACATTATTGTTACCAAATAATCTGCCGAACGAAAGAACACATCACAACAATACAGTTTATAATATCTGTTTTCCTAATTGTTAAGATATTTAAGTTGTATAGAAGTACAGACTTAATGGAAAGAAGTAAAAAGAAACATTTTTTTTTCTCACCAAAAAGAAACGATTTCTAAGTAATTATCTATAAAATAAATCTCTTTTAGGTAAATTTGAATATTTGGCATGAAACTTGCATAGTTTTATAGGTTTTAGTAACCCAAATAATACAATGTCCTCAATCTCACAATAATGCATTTACGATGGAAGATTGACAGATGTAGCAGTGGATTATTGAGATTAAATGTTTTATTAATGTATCTGAAAGAGGTTTATATAAGTATGTTAAAAGAATAATAGCTTGATATGTAATGAATAAATAATTACATAAAGAATAATAAATCAAATAAATATATAAATGAAAACCGATAAAGTTAATGTGGAAACGACTAAAAATCGATTTGTTATGTTTAATGTACTTTAAATGTTTTAAGGCCACCCAGTGAGGAGGTGCTTTCATTATGCTCCCCCCCAAAAAAGTGTTACTTAGTAATTTTTTTTGCATTTCGCATCTTATAGAAACATTATAATATTGCTTGCATTTATAGAAACACTTATAAATGGTATTTTTTCATACAAGCCTCTCTTTTCACTTTGTTTCAAAGATAACTATCACTTGTTTAACAATGTACCTTTATTTCTCAAAGCTAGGATACAGTCTTATTGAGGAAGGCTGCTCTATCGAAACAAACATCGGCGCTAAGATACAGTCTTATTGAGGAAGGCTGCTCTATCGGAACAAACATCGGTGCTAAGATACAGTCTTATTTAGGGAGGCTGCTGTATCGGAACAAACATTAGTGCTAAGATACAGTCTTATTTAGGGAGGCTGCTGTATCGGAACAAACATCGGCGCTAAGATACAGTCTTATTGAGGAAGGCTGCTCTATCGGAACAAACATCAGTGCTAAGATACAGTCTTATTTAGGGAGGCTGCTCTATCGGAACAAACATTAATGCTAAGATACAGTCTTATTGAGGAAGGCTGCTCTATCGGAACAAACATCGGTGCTAAGATACAGTCTTATTGAGGAAGGCTGCTCTATCGGAACAAACATCGGTGCTAAGATACAGTCTTATTGAGGAAGGCTGCTCTATCGGAACAAACATCAATGCTAACATACAGTCTTATTGAGGAAGGCTGCACTATCAGAACAAACATCAGTTTTGATACACTCGTAATTTTAGACAAGTCTTGTCGTGCCATCTAAACGATTGTGTTTGTCTTTCCAGCTTGTTAATTGGGCTATAGCAACACTTGCAGAAAGTATCATTGCTATGGCAGGGTTGTGTGTATTTGAGGATTACAACTACATAAGCCCTCAGTGGCTCAGTGGTAAGTCTGCAGATTCCCTCCGCTAAAAACTGAGTTTCGATATTCGTGATGGACACAGCAGAGATAGCCCATTGTGTTTGTTTGTACTTAACTACAAACAAATAAGAACTGCAAATAGAATTCTGTGATGCTGGGAGATTACTGTTGGTTCTTACTACGTGAAACTGAGAACATACACAAAAGGTGCAACAAGCCAAGCAGATAATTTGTAACAAACTATAATAGCACGATGAAAGTTTTAAACTGGTATTGCTATTATGTATTGTTTTTGAACATTTCCAATAGCATTTTCAATGAATAAATAAAGTTATAAAGAGAAAGTTATTTTAAAATATGTAAGAATATTTTGAATGAATCTTTCATAACATGGAAACTAGAGGTGATCAGTAATTTTAAAATGATTTTTAGAATCAGCATCGTCAAATTACCCAGAAACAATGGCATTTTTTTAGTAGTAGAGAAATATTTTTGTTGTTGTTGTTGTTGTTGCCTGGTATGTAATCGTAAGTACAATTTCTTGCTGGATGAAAACATTTCTAAGTTTTACTAAAAAATGTAAAAAAGCTGTCAAAATTAATTTGATTATTTATATCATAACAAAATATAATGTTCTAAATGTTAGGGAAGGCCTGGTCCCTTTGTACAGGCAGTAGAATCGTGTTTGTCCGAAGAAGACGACATTTACTACGAAATGTTTTCAATGTGTTAAACAAACAAATAAAATCCCTTCCCCATGATACGAAACACCCCTTAAAGTGAATATTACGTTGCTCCATCTACAAAGAAAACCGTTCACAGGGATAAGGTCCTTTTGGGTTTCAATACTTACCTATGTTAACCGTAAATATGTAGGGGTTTTGAGTGTCAATACTTACCAGGTGTCACATGCTGGCAAGAATTAGATAGCTATTGGACAGATATCAAACCAAACATGTATTATTTGTACAGTAGAAATATATATATATTTCTAGAGGATGACAGTGTTTTGTTGTATATGTAAGTTTTTATTGTCTTTCAGAATTTGTAGTGCTTTCTGGAGGATTTTACACATTTTGATAATACAGTTAGAAAAAAACAACAACGATCTCTTCACTACAAATAATTATAATAACCTGGAGTGTAAAGGCCATTTCTTTCTAACTTTATATAATTTTTACTCCGGTGTATAAATCTAATATTAAAACATATGATAGGAAATTATGACTTAAAACATGTACTTCATACTGTGTTATTTAGAATAAATTACCCACTGTTAATGTGTATATTATTCAGATTTATTGGTTTGTACTGTCATCTTAGCACTCAGTACTGTTCAGGTTTATTGGTTTGTACTGTCATCTTAGCACTCAATACTGTTCAAATTTATTGGTTTGTACTGTCATCTTAGAACTCAGTACTGTTCAGGTTTATTGGTTTGTACTGTCATCTTAGCACTCAATACTGTTCAGGTTTATTGGGTTGTACTGTCATCTTAGCAATCAATACTGTTCAGGTTTATTGGTTTGTACTGTCATTTTAGCACTCAATACTGTTCAGATTTATTGGGTTGTATACTGTCATCTTAGCACTCAGTACTGTTCAGGTTTATTGGGTTGTACTGTCATCTTAACACTCAGTACTGTTCAGGTTTATTGGGTTGTACTGTCATCTTAGTGCTCAATACTGTTCAGGTTTATTGGGTTGTATACTGTCATCTTAGCACTCAGTACCGTTCAGGTTTATTGGTTTGTACTGTCATCTTAGCACTCAGTACTGTTCAGGTTTATTGGTTTGTACTGTCATCTTAGCACTCAGTACTGTTCAGGTTTATTGGGTTGTACTGTCATTTTAGCACTCAGTACTGTTCAGGTTTATTGGGTTGTACTGTCATCTTAGTGCTCATTACTGTTCAGGTTTATTGGGTTGTATACTGTCATCTTAACACTCAGTACTGTTCAGGTTTATTGGTTTGTACTGTCATCTTAACACTTAGATTGATGGCTGTCCTTTAACTCGTCAGTGTTTCAAGGAACCTATTCTATAATAATGAAAGTATGTTTTGATTGTTCTAGGAAAGGCTCTTCCAGTACACTGTGTGGTGGAAAAAGGCCCAGCTCATCACAGAAGCTCCTCCTTGCAGCTGTCAGTTGAACTAGACAGCTATGCTATAATCCCTACCAGTACTTTGTTCACAGAACTGATTCGGATAGCTCTTACTAAACTGGGGTATTCAGCATCTGAGGCCATGTGTGCTAAAGGTACTAGCTTTCTTTATCTTTTTAGACTTTTATTAAATGAAACTGTATTGTATGTTAAATTAGTCCGTAGACAACATTTAATTACATAATTTTGACAATTCCAACAGCATAGAATGTCTTTTTTTTGGGAATCCCGAAAGGAGCTTCAGAATTCTTTAAAGGCTGTGGTTATCAGGTAGATCAGTTTGTAAAATGGACAACTTGCTGGATGTTTTCTCTGTTGGAGATGTTTGGATGCACTTTCATAGATCTTGTTCACATCTGTAGCTTTGGAGTTTTTGTTGTATTTTTTCTCTTTTTGGGTGTCTGTGGTGAAGAGCTTATGTGTATTATTATATTGATTGATGAAGTACAGGTGATTCCTGATTGGTTGGTTTTGTTAACAAGGCTTGTGATTGGTAGATTTTTGAGGAGTTTAATCCATACATTACAGATCTCCATTTCTGAGCCTCTGTTGAATGCAGGGATTTTTATTTTTATGTGTAGAGCCTTTTTTACTTTAGTTTTTTGTGTTGTTCTCTTTGTCATTTATTTTGCTTTTATGTTAGTCTGTGATGTGACCTATGTCCTGTTCTGTCTGTAAAAGTATCATATTTAACAAAGATGACTTCCAGCAGGTTGTTCATTTTACCAAGAAATTAACACTTTACATAATAAGATTGATACCCTAGTGTTGCTCGTATCAGGGACATTGATGTCTTTTTTTCTTGTTAAGGAGGTTCACGTACCCCTGTTATGGAGATTGGTATGGGAATATTTCCTTGTGAGGATGGTTATTAAGAATGGGTACAGTGGTGTGGAACTTTAACACGTAAAGTAGGTCCCATCAAAACATGGAGTTATTGCCCAAAGACCTGCGGAAGGTTAACCATGGGTCACAACGTCAGCATATGACAATTACATGCCACTTCAGCCCAATGAAATAGATATTTTACACCAACCCAATCAATTAATAAAAATTCGTTTTTTCTAATTATTACTGTTTTGACTATTTCAACAATCAATTAATCAATTAGTGTATTTTATTATTACTATTCTCGATTACTCCAACTATCCAAGTAATCCAAATTAGTGTTTCTTATTATTACTATTCTCGATTACTCCAACTATCCAAGTAATCAAAATTAGTGTTTCTTATTATTACTATTCTTGATTACTCCAACTATCCAAATAATCAAAATTAGTGTTTCTTATTATTACTGAGGATAGTAATAATAAGAAACACTAATTTTGATTTCTTGGATAGTTGGAGTAATCAAGAATAGTAATAATAAGAAACACTAATTTTGATTACTTGGATAGTTGGCGTAATCGAGAATAGTAATAACAAAAACACTAATTTTGAGATTACTCCAACTATCCAATAATCAAAATTTTTGGATAGTTGGAGTAATCGAGAATAGTAATAATAAAAAACACTTAATCAAAATTAGTGTTTCTTATTATTACTATTCTCGATTACTCCAACTATCCAAGTAATCAAAATTAGTGTTTCTTATTAGTAATCGAGAATAGTAATCCAACTATCCAAGTAATCAAAATTAGTGTTTCTTATTATTACTATACTCGATTACTCCAACTATCCAAGTAATCAAAATATTGCCACGAAACTTGCTCACCTTTTCTTCATTATGGTAAAGCTATTATTCTGGTTTTGCACATTAATAAATGTACACATCCACAGTGACTTGGGTTTTGATACTTGCAATGGGCACAGCAAAGTTAGCTGACTGTGTAACTTTATGTTTAAAAAACTAACAAAATCATATGTACTTTGGCTCTGTCCAGTAGAAAACATATATATATTCTGGTTCTATCCATTAGGAAACATATATTCTCTGGTTCTGTAGTAAACATACGTGATCTGGTTCTGTAGTAAACACACAAGTTCTGGTTGTGTAGTAAACATACATTTTCTGGTTGTGTAGTAAACATACATTTTCTGATTGTGTAGTAAACATAAATGTTTGAGTTCTGTTCATTAGTAAACATATGTGTTCTGGTTCTGTAGTAAACATACATGTTCTGGTTCTGTAGTAAACATACATGTTCTGGTTCTGTAGTAAACATACATGTTCTGGTTCTGTCCATTAGTAAACATACATTTTCAGATTCTATTCATTACTAAACATTTCATACTTGTTTTGGTTTTGTCCATTATTATGCATGTTCCACCTTTATCCATTGCTGCTAAAGTTGAAATATTTAGTAGAAAAGTAAGATTTCTTTGTTTGTTTTCTGAAAATACAGATAGTATTTTGAATTGTTGTTATAGAATAAGTGATGTTCATCAACGTTGTTTCCATTATTACCAATAAAAGTAGGGCTAGACAGTTTTGTTTTTATTGTTACAGAACTATTGTTATTAATGTAGGTGCGATACAGTTAAAGAACTATTGTTATTAATGTAGGTGCGATACAGTTAAAGAACTATTGTTATTAATGTAGGTGCAATAAAGTTACAGACTTATTGTTATTAATGTAGGTGCAATAAAGTTACAGACTATTGTTATTAATGTAGGTGCAATAAAGTTACAGAACTATTGTTATTAATGTAGGTGTGATACAGTTAAAGAACTATTGTTATTAATGTAGGGGCAATACAGTTACAGAGCTATTGTTATTAATGTAGGTGCAATACAGTTACAGAACTATTGTTATTAATGTAGATGCGATACAGTTACAGAACTATTGTTATTAATGTAGATGCGATACAGTTAAAGAACTATTGTTATTAATGTAGATGCGATACAGTTACAGAACTATTGTTATTAATGTAGATGCGATACAGTTACAGAACTATTGTTATTAATGTAGGTGCAATACAGTTAAAAAACTGGAAACCATTATCCTTTGAACAAATCACTGACACTTCAGATGCCACAGTAGGAGATATACTAGGTGATCTTGGTGCAGTAGCCACTTTAAGAATTCGACTCAGTAGGTAGGTCACTGATTTTCATCTGTTTGTATTAGTTAGATGTTTTCAAGTAGAAATCTATGGTTGATATCATTGTGAGAGTATTATAGAAATTAGAAGCACGAAGCAATGACAGTCAACCAAGATCAAACTTGACATTTTGATTTACCAACTAGTCTTCCCTGGTACAGTTAATGAATTCCTGGGCAGATAAGAATCTGAGTTGTTTCTATTTGTTAATTGAATCTATAAAATTTTTTTTTTACATAGTTTCTTATTCTGTCATATAGTTGGAACTTTTCAAGACAAACTGTTGCTTAACTTTTTTGTTAATATCCCTGTAGGAAGTGAGTTCACGGTTAACTTTTTGTTAATATCCCTGTAAGAAGTGAGTTCACAGTTAACTTTTTTGTTAATATCCCAGTAAGAAGCGAGTTCACGGTTAACTTTTTGTTAATATCCCTGTAAGAAGTGAGTTGATGGTTAACTTTTTGTTAACATCCCTGTAAGAAGTGAGTTGATGGTTAACTTTTTTGTTAATATCCCAGTAAGAAGTGAGTTGATGGTTAACTTTTTTGTTAATATCCCAGTAAGAAGCGAGTTGATGGTTAACTTTTTTGTTAACATCCCTGTAAGAAGTGAGTTGATGGTTAACTTTTTTGTTAACATCCCTGTAAGAAGTGAGTTGACAGTTCTGTAGAAGAGAACATGTAAGTACTCCTGACAGCAACAGAACACAGTACTAAATATTTAGATATAAAGTGTAAAAAGTGTAATAGTATAAAAATTAAATTAGAACAATGTGCTCTTTAAACCATGAGGTGTAATGACTGTATCATAAACACTTCACATGTTCTAAAAAGCTTGAAAACTATTTCCCAATCTCAAAACTTTCAAGTTTTCTTTCTTCACTCAAGCACTCTCTATAACTAGCAAGACACGTGTATTTAGTTTTTTTTGTATAGTAACGTGATGAATTTTTAATATAATTGTAATATAAGTTTCAATATACCTGCTGTGTTTGGGTGTTTGTAAACAGTTGTGAGCCCTTCTTGAAGGTATTATTTTACATTGAAATATTAAATTCTATAAAAATGTGAATAACTTTCTTTTATATTGTAATAATTGATGATTAAAATTGTTTTTAGCTCTTTTTTTCTACTGCCTGAAATGGAACATTTGTACTTTTTCATGATTACATTTGGTAAAGGTCATTGTATCCATTCTAGCTTTTCTTCCACAGAGATCTTCATTTTTTGCAAAACATATAATAGTGTGAACTGTTTTTATGTATCTTTGTTTGTCAGTAGATTATAGAGGTTTAAAATGGAAATATGGCTAAATTAAGTAGTTAACTCAGAATAAATTCTAAGCTCTTCCCTTGCCATATTGTGGCATCACTTATTATCAAACTTTCTTGGGAGAAAATCCACCAATAATCTACTGTAGGAACCCTCATCATATCTGGGTTCAAATCCACCAATAATCTACTGTAGGAACCCTCATCATATCTGGATTCAAATCCACCAATAATCTACTGTAGGAACCCTCATCAATCTGGGTTCAAATCCACCAATAATCCACTGTAGGAACCCTCATCATATTGGGGTTCAAATCCACCAATAATCTACTGTAGGAACCCTCATCATATCTTGGTTCAATTCCACCAATAATCTACTGTAGGAACCCTCATCAATCTGGGTTAAAATCCACCAATAATCTACTGTAGGAATCCTCATCAATCTGGGTTCAAATCCACCAATAATCTACTGTAGGAACCCTCATCATATCTGGGTTAACTTTTTTCAAAGGTGAAAAGAATGCTGAGATGTGCCAAATTAATTTAATTATAGTAGATACTTCAACAGTGAACAATGGAAGAAATCTGGGACAGCATCCTTAACAGAGACTTCAGCAGTGAATAATGGAAGAAAAATGGGACAGTATCCTTAACAGAGACTTCAACAGTGAACAATGGAAGAAATCTGGGACAGCATCCTTAACAGAGACTTCAGCAGTGAATAATGGAAGAAAAATGGAACAGCATCCTTAACAGAGACTTCAACAGTGAATAAAATAATGTAGTGGGACAGCATCCTTAGTAGAGACTTCAACAGTGATTATTGGTAGGAAATCTGGGACAGCATCCTTAGTAGAGACTTCAACAGTGAATGATGCTGCTGTCCGTACAGCAGCAGTGAATAATGGAAGAAAAATGGACAGCATCCTTAGTAGAGACTTCAACAATGAATAAAATAAAGTGTGGGACAGCATCCTTAGTAGAGACTTCAACAGTGAATGATGGTTTACGGGAGGAAATGTGTTAACAGAACAAGAATATTTACCATCGTCAATGGTGTACGGGAGCAAATGTGTTAACAGAACAACAATATTTACCATCATCAATGGTGTACGGGAGCAAATGTGTCACCAGAACAACAATATTTACCATCGTCAATGGTTTACGGGAGGAAATGTGTTAACAGAACAAGAATATTTACCATCGTCGATGGTGTACGGGAGCAAATGTGTCACCAGAACAAGAATATTTACCATCTTCGATGGTGTACGGGAGCAAATATGTCACCTAAACAAGAATTATAAGAAACATAGAAATATGCCACCACTCATTAGATCTTAAGAAATTTTACCAATTTTAACACAATAAGTAATAGTTTGAGATCAACATGTGCTGAGGATCTAAACAGATGAATGTGACCTTTGGTTATCAGTGGTAATTCAAAGAAAGGAATTAATAGATGATTGAGAACTTTGGTTCTCAGTGATAATTCAAAGAAAGGAAGAGGATCTTTTACTACAAAGATTGTGATAGATTATTCTAAATCCTCAATATAAACATGCATTAATGGTTTGACTAAATTCGAGCTTAAGCAACAAACCTAAGGACAACTAATTAGGGAAACAAAGACACTGGAAGCTTGTGATAGAGTAATAAGGCAAACACACATTTATCGTCTGAATAACCAAGACCAAAGGCACAGCCAAAGAAAGACTGAGGATGAAAAGACACCTTTGCAGGTATCATTAATTGGCAAGCAGCAAAGCTATAGCAACCTGGTGAATCTCTTGTAATTTATATATATGAAACAATTGTGAAGTTACCTGGCTAAATCATAACCACATGGTTTCAAAGAAGATATCAAAAATGAAGCTATGTCTTCAGGACAGTAAACAATTGCAAATTATTGGCTTGAATCAGTGGCTTAGCAGGTTACCATAGACAAGATACATTGTGATAGTCCAAGACCGCACTTTGGGTATTGGAAAAGCATCTATAAAGAAATGATCTCCTTTTGCAAGAGAATGTAATAGAATTAATCATCCAAGTAGTATGAGACTCTATATATAATTCTCACAGATAGTGTAACACAGCTAAATGTAGAAATATTTTAGAATTTTAAATGTCTCTGGACAGATATCATTATAGAGTATGCAAGTAGGCCTAACCTAAAGAAACAACTCACTCCTAAATTGAGTTCTTGAAAAAGATAGAACCTGATGTGTAGGTAGAATGTGAGAGGTAAGGATACAATAAACCTGTAGTTCCAAAGAAAGAAGGTGAGTGGTGAGAATAGAATGAACTTGCTGTTCCAGAAGAGGAAGAAAAGAGACAAGGATAGAATGGATCAGCTGTTCCAGAGGAGGAAGAAAAGAGACAAGGATAGAATGGATCAGTTGTTCCAAAAGACGAAGAAAAGAGACAAGGATAGAATGGATCAGCTGTTCCAGAAGAGGAAGAAAAGAGACAAGGATAGAATGGATCAGCTGTTCCAGAGGAGGAAGAAAAGAGACAAGGTTAGAATGAATCAGCTGTTCCAGAAGAGGAAGAAAAGAGACAAGGTTAGAATGAATCATCTGTTCTAGAGGAGGAAGAAAAGAGACAAGGATAAAATGGATCAGCTGTTCCAGAAGAGGAAGAAAAGAGACAAGGATAGAATGGATCAGCTATTCCAGAAGAGGAAGAAAAGAGACAATGATAGAATGGATCAGCTGTTCCAGAAGAGGAAGAAAAGAGACAAGGATAGAATGGATCATCTGTTCTAGAGGAGGAAGAAAAGGGACAAGGATAAAATGGATCAGCTGTTCCAGAAGAGGAAGAAAAGAGACAAGGATAGAATGGATCAGCTGTTCCAGAAGAGGAAGAAAAGAGACAAGGATAGAATGGATCATCTGTTCCAGAAGAGGAAGAAAAGAGACAAGGATAGAATGGATCATCTGTTCCAGAAGAGGAAGAAAAGAGACAAGGATAGAATGGATCAGCTGTTCCAGAAGAGGAAGAAAAGAGACAAGGATAGAATGGATCAGTTGTTCCAGAAGAGGAAGAAAAGAGACAAGGATAGAATGGATCATCTGTTCCAGAAGAG